GTGAAAATGTTAGTTTGTATAGAATAGTTGAATTGATCAATCTATAACTTAGTTTTGATGTAGATGAAAGTGTTTAAAAGCTTTACTTAAGTTTGGAGAGTGATTTCCATAGTGAAATTAATTCAATGAGAGTTAGGGTTTGAAACCCTAACTAGTGATTATGATTGATGAATTATAGAATATATTATAATGAATTAGGTAGTATGGGAGGCTTAATTCATTGGTTGGAATGGATTAGAAGTAGAAAATGAGAAGTTAAAAATATGATTAAATAAGTAGTCATTTTGACCAAGAGAGTCATTAAGCTCTTAATAGGCTAAGACAATGTAACGCCCCATCTCTGGTATGTTGTTCCCGTGGCATTTATTTAGAAGTTTTATAGAGGGACTCGACGAGTCTATGGCCTGATTCGTCGAGTAGGGTCGAGTTTCCGTGCACGTGTTAGTCGGCGACTCGGCGAGTCCATATTCGGGACTCGGTGAGTCTACTTGTCAGGTTGAAACCCTAAATCCCCGGGTTGCTCGCTATTTAAGCAATGATATGTGCCCTAAACTCGCCTCCTTCACCCTCAGAGAGAGCTGTGAGAAACCCTAATCCTTTCCTTGATTGATTTAAGTGTTTTGTGTGGATTCTTGAAGGCTTGAAGAAGAAGAAGGAGAAAGGAACAAGGAGAAGTGTTGTAGAGCAAAGATCCAAGGTCAAAATCAGAGTTCATTGAGGTATTTCTCGGAATCCCTCTGTTTTATGCTTAAAACTTCCATTAGATCATATCTAAGGCTAGTTTGATGCTTTTGCCAACCATATAGTTGTATGGCTGCCTTAATAGGTCGAGATATCCATAGATCTGTTCATTTAGGAGTTGTAGAACCCGGATCTATTGCCTTTTTGAAGTTGCTTTGCATAAGAACCTTAGATCTAGCCTTTATCATGCTTTTTGAGCCTTATAATCTTCATTGATGCTTTTGGACACGTAAAGATAGAATCTTTACGTGATAATCGGACTAAGGAAGCTCAGATCTATAAAGTGTATGTGGTGGTTTTGATCAGAATCGAGTTTTTAGGATTTGCATGCATGTGACTCGGCGAGTCGTTCTTCGGACTCGGCGAGTCCGGTCGTAAGTCCCGGATCTTTACCCTTTGGGTGATTCCGAGTGGAGGCCAGTGAGCTGTAGGAAGGACTCAGTGAGTCGAAGGGTAGACTCAGTTATGGTGGGACTCGACGAGTTGTTCATACAACTCGGCGAGTCCAAGGCAATCTTCTTATGATTCAAGAACAACTCGTCGAGTTGTTCATACGACTCGGCGAGTCGGATGCAGATGACCTGAGTGTTGATATAGAGCGGGAACTCGTCGAGTGTATGCCATACTCGACGAGTAGCAGTGAACAGGGTTGAGAAATGAGAGTAGGGACTCGGCGAGTTGGCGGCCCAACTCGGCGAGTCAGGTCAACTGTAAAGTTAACTTTGACCAGGAGAGTTGACTTTAGCCAGGGGTAAAAGAGTCATTTACCCCAATGCAGTTATTAGTAATTTGATGGAGTGTATTTGTGGAATTGTAGCCGGGGATATACCGGAGCAGCAGCAGATAGTTCCCGGAGCCACACACTCAGCAGCCAGATCACGAGGTGAGTTTCCTTTCAGTAGGAACGGGTCTAAGGCCACAATGCCGGCCCGTTTAGCTAGCAGAAATTTCCGGACTTCGGTCCGATGCAGATTTTAGTATGTTTGATGCCTTTGTGGCTCAGACAGGATTTGGTGTTATGTGTTTCGGGTTACAGCTTAATGTAGTATGCTATCTAAGTGCTCATGTTAGTTGATATGCTTATGTGATGCTACGTTCAGTATGTTCCGGACTTCTATCCGATGCAATCAGTTCCGGACTTCGGTCCGATGCAATTAGTTCCGGACTTTGGTCCGATGCAGGAGGCAAGGCCTCAGTAGTTCCGGATCTCGATCCGATGTAGAGGGCAAGGCCCTGGTTAGTTCCGGACTTGGGTCCGATGCAGTTTCTGGACTTCGGTCCGATGCAGTAGGCAAGGCCCAGTATGTGTTTATATGTATTATTATGGTATGTGGTAGTTTGGGGGAGCTCACTAAGCTTCGTGCTTACAGTTTCAGTTTTGGTTTCAGGTACTTCCGCAAGCAAAGGGAAGAGCTCGGGTTGATGGCATCGCACACACCACAGCTTCAGCTGTCCTGAGAGTTGTTTTGGTTTTCATAGATGTGATTGACTCAGTCTTGATACAGTTTATTCATAACACTTTGCTATTGCTTTTGAGATATTGACGTATGAGTTTTACCTTATGATATTATCATGGTGTTTTTTTTCATAATTATTAAACAAAAATTTTTGGGTTGTATTTTGGGATGTTTCAGACAAGTATTAAAAAACTTGTATATGCGTATGAATAGACTTAAGAGCAAAGAAGATGGATCAAGATGCATCAATGGAAGAATTAAAGAAAAAAGATTAGTTAGTATTCACTAACTAACATTGTGAGTTATATCACTCTCTCGCTTTAGATTATGTATGTTTATATTATATTATATTATATTATATATATATATATATATATATATATATATATATATATATATATATATGCGTGTATGTTGGATCTTGGGCACTAAGTGAATGCCTCCAAGTGATTTAATGAAGATAGAGGATGGTTATATGCATAAGAACATGGATCATAACATGTACATATATTTAGAGTATGCATGAGGTAGACGTTTAGAACCATGTATCAAAGCATGTAAGTATACTTAGAGAACGTATGGTTAGATGAGAAATGTATTTGTTAAATACCTAATGGATGGTAGAAAGATATAGAATATGATTATATGCGTTATAATCATATAGATAAGTATATATGGTATGGTGTAGAATATCTAAAAGTTATGAGAAGAAGAATTAGATAAGTAGTTAATGAGTTAAGTACTAGATGAGTAGTAGAAAATCTATTGATGAGATAAATAGATAGATTATGAAACAACACGCGCATCATAACATGTAGATGTAAAACAACACATACAATGGTGCTTTGTTTCTTTTTGTTAAAGTCGGGTTCTACCCACCTCTATGTGTTTAACAACAATTCTGGCCAAAATAAAAATGGGAAAATATAAGACATCGTGATAGCATAAGCAAACACACTTATCTGGCAAACCAAACCTCAAACTAGAATCTAGACTTTTTTTTAATTGAATTGCTCGAACTATGTACCTTCATGATCGCCATTTCCAGCTTTCAATTAGTTGCGGTTGATTTTATTGTCTCTCATTAGGTCTAAAACCGAACATTATTAGATATTTAACAGTCAAACATTTTGTTATGTAAGAAAGCAAAATAAATGATAAAACAATATAAGAAATTAGCATGGTTCGGTTATTGTGACATACGTCCATTGGCAGGAACAAAGACTGTTATTTGGCTTATTCAAAAGTGATTAAATTGGAATTCTAAGCAACGGATACTTGGCCAAGATCACATACACGTAATAAATTCAGGCCTAATGACCATCAACGTACTTCAAACACTTATCTCTTCGAAATCGTCGTTCGGGTTTCCGTCACTTCATTTCACATCAGATTATTCATTTGGATCACCAAACTCCATGTTACACGTTAGCACAATTTTAAATTGTCTTTGGGGTCTTAAATCCTTACACCTAAAGTTGAATATAAATAGTCAAGGGCATTTAGATATTTACCTTTGTCAAACAAAACAAATTTACTTTAGTTTACCAAAGACTTGACTACAAAATGAAAATGAAAAGTAAAGAAGTGAAATCATCGAGATAATGTCTTACAATGAGACCCCAAGACAAGATCTCACTATAGATCTTACTTCATAATCAATTCTATTGTGATCGAAATCAATTTTCAATTGTACGATTTTAAGATTGAAAGATCTTAACAAGCACGGAGAGGTTCAAAGTAAATCTTAAAATTAGAGTCTTAAAGGCAATGTTTTCTTGTTTTCTTGTTTTGATTACAAGTTCAAGTCAATTTATTATCATATAAAATACACCCATTCGCGTCTTTCTTTATGATTAAATTTTCGTAATTTTGTAAAGACAACCGAGCACCTACCAATTTAACTAAAAGACTATGATATACTATCATATTATATGGGCAACCAGGGAGGAAGAGGAAATCAAGTCATCCAAACTTCATTATACTTCTGTTCTTGACATCACCAGGCATACCCAGTTCTTGAATTTGCAACTTGGACGAAAAGTGTGAAATTATTCGAATCATCTAATGCTTATTCAACAACAAAATCCCTAAATTTGAGGAGTTGCAAAGCCAATTCTCTTTTCGATATTTTGTTGTTCAAGTTCAGAGATATCCAGTTAAACGGTTAGTCATTCTTTAAGTTTTTACTCATTTGTGATTTATCCGCGTTCGTGTGTTGTGTTGATCGAGTATTCGAGTTTAATCTTTGGTTTGTTGCATAAACAGTTCATTTTCGTGAGATTAAGATTCATGGAAGAAAAAAAATATTACTTATTACTTCCAATAATCGAATTTCCTTTTGATTCCTTAAAAACAGAGATGGAAATCTCTGTTGTGTCCCTCTCTTACAAGGATGATATAAAGGTAACGGTTGATTTTAGGTAAGTTCATTGGTCAACCGAACTGACCATTTGACTTTTGTCGAATATGTCATGGCAAATGGTTAACCACACACCCTTGACCACGTCACAATACAATTTGAAAAAAAAAAAAAAATACAATTATGTGATATAGTGACGTAACCATCCCATTTTGGTTATTTTGCAATTAACCCATATGTTATATTGTCCTTAACTTACATGTTGATATTGGGTTCAGAAATCTTTACGTATGATTTCCCTAATTAATTAACTTTACTTTATCTTTTGTTATATTCCATTAGCCTTGATCAAATTCTGGAAATAAATTACATTGCATCGGTAGCATTGAGCTTCAACGTCCTTAGAAGTTAGAAGAATCACCGTTTCTCGAACAAGGTCAATGACGAAAAATCAACAAATTACTAATGACAACAATAAGAACAGTGGAACACTTCCACTTTCTTCTGGTGAAACAAAGCAAAATAGTTTGTCACATACGTTGGCTCAAATCGAGGTACCCCTTAAATCTTCTTTGAATGGTTTTGGTAGTAAATTTAGTACCCATTAAATCTCTTAATGTTACTACCTATCAATAACAACGTAACATTCTCCTATGTTTTAATGGATCAAATTGATTATTAATTTCATTAATTGTGACATATATTAACATGTGACATGGATAGAAAGACAAATATAAAGAAAACATTGGAATTAATTTAATCTCTCTTTAATTGGAGCTGTGGGTAATTTTTGCCGACATTAAATTTTCCATAAAATGGAAAATATAGTAAGTTTGTTACATTAAATGATCAACGAAATAACTTATACCAAGAAAATCCTTACAATTGGACTTTTCTTTTTTAAAAAGACATTTATTTCAATTTAACCCCTAAGTAGGTTATCTTTTTTGATTTGGCAATTTTAACATGTAGACAGGAGGTTACAAAGTTTCTTGAATCTGATGTTACATTGTTTCTTATTTGCAAAATTATATGACATATAATAGATACAACATCACCCCAAAAAGATTTAAATAAAACACATGTAGGTTGTGGTATACAATAGTGACCATTCAAAGTCAAATATGTATCATTGGTTAAGTGGTTAATGTTATGTATTATACCAATATATTTTAATGGGGAAAATGATTCTTGAGGGTAATTAATTTTTGCGTTTGTACTCATTTGGTCCTTTTTTTTTTTTTGGTATTCAATATACTATTGAACTTGTTGTTGGTGTTTACCATAGTCCTTTGACCTGTGATAGCCGGTCAAAGGGTTATGGTGAACACAAATAACAAGTTCGATGGTATATTGAATACAAAAAAATAAAGGAAATTGACCAAATGAGAACAAACGCAACAGTTGGTTACCCTCCTGATTCATTTTCCCTTTACTCATTTACAACAAATCCCACATCATCTCCTATTGATATTAATGACTTTATGAGATTCATTCTTGCTTCTCTTCAAAACTTAACCTACGAAAGGACATTATTCATACATGTACAACTTTGTAATGCACTTGAATATTTATTAGGAGAATCTTGACTAAGCAGGCGCATTTCATGACTACATTTACATTTTCAATCAAATGATTTATCGTATCATGGATTCTAGACAAGTTTACAAACGAGTGGAATCACAAGTGCTATGATTTTTTAGTTTACTTAGCTTTAAGATCGAACTCATGGGATAAGATACAATATCAATATGTACAATATTATGGTGACGTGTCTACAATGGAAACCACTATCTAAGATTAATTAAAGCTTCTAAACACTCTCACCATAATATTGTACATATTGATATTGTATCTTATCCCATGAGTTCGATCTTAAAGCTAAGTAAACTCAAAAATCACAGCACTTGTGATTCCACTCGTTTGTAGACTTGTTTAAAATCCATGATACGATAAATCATTTGATTGCAAATGTAAATGTAGTCATGAAATGTGCCTACTTAGTCAAGATTCCCCTAATAAATATTCAAGTGCATTACAAAGTTGTACATGCATGAATAATGTTCTTTCGTAAGTTATGTTTTGAAGAGAAGCAAGAATGAATATCATAAAGTCATTAATATCAGTAGGAGATGATGTGGGATTTGTTGTAAATGAGTAAAGGGAATATGAATCAGGAGGGTAACCAACTGTTGCGTTTGTTCTCATTTGGTCCCTTTCCTTTTTTTGTACTCAATATACCATCGAACTTGTTGTTTGTGTTCACCATAACCCTTTGACCGGCTATCACAGGTCAAAGGCCGGTCAAAAGGGCTATGGTAAACACCAACAACAAGTTCGATGGTATATTGAATACAAAAAAAAGGGGGACCAAATGAGTACAAACGCAAAAGTTAATTACCCTCAAGAGTTATTTTCCCTATTTTAATGTTTGTGGGTTAAAGTCTCGTTAGACCATCCGAAGTACTGCTCACGAAACACGAACCACCTCAACCTTTATTTCCTTCCACCTCACCATCACGAGCATGAACCAATTTATGTGTACATATCACGACCTCAAACAAAAAGTAGAGGATGAGAAAGAGAGTAGACGAATAAGTGGAAGAAATGTCGTTGGTCGTTGTGGTACGTGCTCCCTACCATAAATCTCCACGACAATGACGAAGAATGGAGGAATGGGGTGGCGTTCGTGTTTGTGGTTTGTGCCACGGTGAATAACGGAGCCCTCCGTTGAGGTACTTCGGATGGCCTTATATGTGGCTTTAGGAATTATTTATAGGGCTTTTGATACAAAAACCTTTAAACTTGTAAAAAAACCAGGTTTATCCTAAAACCATTTTTATGCTTATTAATGTTTGAAATTTATAAGGTTTTAATTTTTTTACTCTTGTTATTTTTGTACTTGTGACAGCAGGTTTGTACGTTCCCGTGAAATAAAATTCGCAAAAAAACCTTTAAGTTTACACTTAAAGAAATATTCTGATTTCTTTTCTCATATGTATTCATATAGAACAAACGTATTTATACATGGAAAATATTTTTTAATTAAACATTGTATTTTGTTCTTTTTAAATGGCATTTCATTATATATAGGTTTTTGGCATATTATACATAAACATATATTTTTGGAAGTATAAATACATATTTAGAAGTACATAATTTTTTTTTAAACATATAAATATGCATTTTAGTATGTTTTTAGAAAAATTAATATGTATTTATATTTCCAAATACATAAAAAAAAATGTATCTATATTTCTAAAAAAACTTAAAAAATTGTCTTTATATTTCTAAAAACATAAAAAAAAAGTATTTATAAATTTTTAAAATACATAAATATTGATTTTTACATTTTTTGAAATATATTAATGTATAGAAATATGGATATTAATATGTCATTTAAAAGCATAAACACATATTTTTATATTTTTAAAAGTAGAGATATGTTTTTTAGAAATATAAGTACGTATTTTTATATATTTTAGAAGTATAATTTTTTTAAGAAATATAAATACATATTTTTATGTATTTGGAAGTATTGACTTAGAAATATAAATACATACTGTATTTTTTATGTTTATAGAATTATAAATACATTTTCTTTTCATATAAACACACTTTCAACTGATATACTTTTAAATATGTATTTATACTTCTAAAAGCATATATTTACATTTTAAATCGTATAAATATGGAAAAATCACGCATATAAAGAAATATTATTTAAAAGGAACGTAAATATAATGTTTAATTAAACATTTTTTCGTATATAAATATATTTTTTCTGTATGAATACGTTTAATATGAAATGAATATGTAGAATATAAAAATTAAAAAAGATTACAAACTTAAGTGTTTTTCTTGAAAATTTTAATTCATGGTAATCTACAAACTTGCTATTACGAGTTAAAAGGATAATAGTAGAAGAAAAAAAAAACTTGTAAAGTTCAAACATTTATGAAAATAAAAACAAAATTAGGGTAAAATCATATTTTATGATAAACTTTAGGGCTTTTGTATCAAAAATATAAGGTGATCTATCATTTTTTAAATGCCATATCATTTTTTAAATAAGCAAAACAAGGGTAAACAACATTCTCCATTATTCAAGAAACCTACAAGCCACTCTCTCTTCGCTAAAACTCTCAAATTAAAAGGTAATCTCAAAATTAGGGTTTAAACCGAATAAAAGTATAGTCTTTTAAGAAAAACTAACAAAAATATTATTATATGGATCAACAAAATGATGGAACCATTCCTGCATTTTTTCCGGTTATTATTTAATACATCTTAATTACCAAAGATAAAGAAACCTTTTTACCGAGCTTGATAGTCTAGTTTCTCTAAAATTTGATGTACATTGTTCATATATAAATGTAATCTGTGTGCTTATTAAGTTATTAAGAAACATGGATCGACCTATTGGGGATCTCACCATGTGTTATGGAATCCATTTGTGTTTTTTGCTTTGATTATAACACTTGTAGTTTCATTAAAGAAATTTATACTTATTGAATATGATGCTAAAACATCCACCAGGTTACTCCACTTATGATAGGAGTTGCAGCTGTTGTTGTTACTGCTGCTACTTACGTTTGTGCTAGTCGATTCAAGGCTCGATCAGTTTCACCCATATCTCGTAAATTTTATAAAGGGGGTTTCAAACCTCAAATGACTAGAAGGGAAGCCGCTCTTATTCTCGGAGTAAGGTACACTACCAAAATCTTATTGGTTGCTACTTTGGTCTTTGGATATATATGATTCAACTTGAGAATGGATTATAAGGAGATTAGTGAGTTGAAGTTAATAGTTTTCGGCAAAAGTACTTTAAGATTGGGGTAAATTACACAAATGGTCCCTGTGTTTCAGGGTAGTTTGCGTGTTTTGTCCTTAACTTTTTTTTTTTTTAATTCGGACGGTCACTATTTTATATTTTTGTTGCGTCTTTGGTCCCTAGTTTTTTAATTAAATTGTTATTTATTTATTAATTTATAATTTATTTAAACAATAAAATAAAGAAATTAAAATAACCCAACACTCAGTCTCAACATGTCCACTTCTAAACCTAATAGAATTTATCTATTCTGTATTCTATCTCCTTCTCCCTTCTTTAAGCCAATGTAAGAAACTCAGTAGGCTATCAGACTACCGGCTCGACCAAGAAAAAACTACCTGCCATCGGAAAACACCATATGTTGTCAATCTGTTTTCTAAAGTCGTTATTCTGCAATCTAAAGTCGCCGATCTGCACTATCAACCATATGCACCATCGACAGTCTTCGGATCTCACTGAAACTTACAGACGCCATCGATCTCCACGGTCGTCGATAGTCGCTGATCTATACCACCATCGCATTCATGTCCAATGTCATTGGTTTGGATATGCAACGTCATCGATCTGTACTATCACACCCACGAACACTCTCCTTTCTTGAATATTTATCGTTTGATTTTTTGTTAGGATTTCTTGATGGAGCTTTTTTTGTGGCAAAAGTGGTGATGTTTTACTACGCTGGCAGAGGTGGTGGTTTTCCGCCTAAGCGGGGTGAGGATGAATGTGGGATGGATAAGAAATATAATGATAAATGATGGTGTGGAAATCTAGAGATGGTGGTCCAGTTACGTCTGACGGCGACATCGTTCGGCAACGGTTGCAGAAGGTGTTTCTCCGACAATTTGTTCGTTTTTTGTATGTTTTTCCGACGAAACAGACATGTGCATTTTTTCCATACACTTTTTCTAACCATGATTTGGTTAGAGAAGATTTTTGCATCTTCCAACAAGAGGTTGTGATTTTTTGGCGAGAGGAGTGAGATTTTTTGGCAACCGGACACAAGGAGGCAGGTAGGGATGGAAATGGGGCGGGTATGGGGCAGGGTTGACAATCCTTGTCCCCATCCCCAAGCACCTAACCTCATCTCCATCCTCATCCCCATCCCCAACGGATGCGGAGAATCGAATTCCCTCCTCTTTGAATTTTGGGCTTTTCCCTGGCCCATCCCCGATCCATCAAAATAATATACTACACTTACACAAAAAAATCAAGTTTAATAAGTGAAAAAATAGAGGCCATAATCAGATTATTTTTACATATTGCATAAAATCTAACAAGCATCAAAACAAGGAGTGACGATTTGGTATACGGACCGTCGAACAAAGTGAGGATTTAAGAACTCTTGGAATTAGGAATATAATTTGATATATGGACTCTCGGTCCAATACAAATCGATTCATTCTTAGTGGACTTATTTCATAATTAATATATTATTAATATAGTAATATTATATATATATATATATATATATATATATATATATATATATATCAATGCAAGGGCAGGGCGAGTTGGGGATTGGTATACCTAGGCTCGGCGCCATCCCCTGTTTTAGCATAATGGGGATCCAAGCCCCATCCCCGGTACTCGTTTTTGCGAAGAATACCTGTCCCCAATTGGGGCGGGTGAACCGGGTTTCCCACCGGATCGGGTGAAATTTCCATGTCTAGAGGCAGGGGAGGGGAGGAGGGTTCAATAGTGTGGGTTCTTGAAACAAACCAATATATATATATATATATATATATATATATATATATATATATATATATATATATATATATATATATATATATATATATATATATATATATATATATATATATATATACTTTTCCATATTTAATTAATATTTTTTAATTAATTGATAATTAAAAAAATAAAAGAAATCAATAAGGGTAAATTAGTCTTTTTATAATTGATAGGGACCAACATGCAACAAAAATAAAAAATAGGGATGGTCCGAGTTTAAAAAAATATTAGGGACCAAGCTCATAGATTACCCCAAACTACAAGGGCCTTCAATTTACCCTTAAGATTATGAATAATATCATATAAATTAATAATAGTTATTTGCATAAATAGACAAGGATTAATTGTAAACAAAAATGATTATTGAGATAAATGTCATATTATCTAACTACCACCACCTTAGGTATGAAAATGAACTAAAGATAAATATGTAGATTTCTCGTAAGTTTTCCACCAACTTAGGTATGAAAATGAACTAAAGATAAATATGTAGATTTCTCATAAGTTTTCCACCAACTTAGGTATGAAAATGAACTAAAGATAAATATGTAGATTTCTCATAAGTTTCCATTAGTGTTATTGAAATACTAAGATGTTATTATTAAAGATGAACGACCTGTTAGAAATTATATGGGAAAATCCAAGGTGGATAAAATCTTTATCCGATATAGGTGGCAGGGATAAACTTAAATACATTTGAAATAGTCAATCCCATACAGGCACCTATTTGTTGTTGGATGTGATACATGTTAGGACAATAAATATTTATTATGCTAACATTCGAGAAACAACATCATATTTCTTACTCTTCCAAGAGACATTGAATGAAATACAAATATATAGAAACTAGTAGTAGTAGATTCATGATCACAAGGATTTATATCCCAATCAGCATCACTATAGGTAAGAGTAAAACCAAGAGAAGTAATCAATGTAGAAATTTTTTCAAACCAAGCAAGATGGGTTGTTGAGACCATATAGATCTTTCCAAATCCGAAAAACATCACTCGATTGGTGAGCATGCATGGGGAGGGGTCATGTATACCTTCTCATGAAGGTCACCATTCAAGAATTCATTATTGTCATCTATTTGGAAAAACTTCCAATGGCGAACTGATGAGACCCTTATCAGAGTATGAATACTTGTCATTTTTGCAACTTGAGCAAATGTCTCCTCATGATCCATGACATAGTTTTATGAGTAACCTTTGGACAAACGTATGTCCTTGTATCGTTCGACTAATCCACCAGACTTGGTTTTGATCTTATAGAACCAACAAAAACCGATAGTAAGATATTTGTTTGGGAGAGGAGTTATAGCCCATGTATGAGTCTGATAAAGGACGCTAAGCTCTTTATCCATAGCATTCTACTAGAGCGGATCATAAACATCCTCTTTGTGGGGCACATGTTCGGATAGACGATGTACATTGACGATAATGGTTGCAAATAGTGATGAATTAAAAAGCATATGCAAATTTTGGGAGCTTAGTGCCTCTGCAAGCACGAATAAACATACGAGGTAGTAGAGGATCTAGAGTCACAATACTTCGCTCTGCTAGATGTATGCTAATTCGATCTATCAAGTTGGTCCTTCACGGATACATTGTTTTGTGACTTAAACTAGCAACAAAGTAACATTCGGCTGATATTTAGCCGATTTAAGGCATATTTTGGGTAGTTTTGGCCTATTTCTTGGACTTCTTTCTCCTTGTAGATCTCTTTTGGAGATTAGGGGTTTCATATCTTCATTTTAGTCACTTATAAGTGATTTGTTAGCCCCATTTTATTGTTGATTAATACTACAAGTCGTATGTTTCTCCTCATGGATGTACACAATGACCCCGATTGTGGAACCACGTTCATTACATGTGTCTCATGATTTATTTTATTTTCATTTACATTTGCTTTATCTTGGTATGTGTTGTTCTCGTTATCAAGTATTTCTCATAATTTTTAATCCTAGTTTGTTATCTGTTTCATTGTTAAGATTTCCACTTGGTTATTAGACCAAGTGTTTGATGTATCTTTGGGATATGTTTGGATTACTATGATTTGGACCCGCCATAGGATCCCCAACAATTTCCTAATACAAAAAAACTGAATAAAACATAGTATATTAAAACATGGATTTCATAAAAAAAAAAAAAAAAAACAAAACAAAAAGCTACAAACATGATCCATCGTCACACAAAAATTATACATAGTACACAACCATAGGATGTTTACAACATCCAACCTTGGAATTTCGGTTGTTTTAGAGTTGAGATTCCATAAACACCAAGGGAAAATGGAAAAATATCGCTCCCATTTACTATAACCACTAATCACACTTGAGAAAGGTTATCGTGCTCCGCTAAGAAGTGTCATCCAATTAAACAATTGATATAGCAATGGTTTGCTAATATCATTCAAAAACACGCTCTTGGATTTAAAAAGGTTAAAAAAATATCTTAATTTCTTGATTGAAAGTCATCCATGTCAATAAGTTGGAGTTGTAGGCATATTTATACTTTAAAACTCATGGATATAACGGGCTTGGGCCAACAATATCGATTGTGCAAGACCAATGCATGACTTGGAGGAGGATGAAAATCCTTGCTTCTTCTATAATTCCTTACATATTTGATCCTTTTTACATTATAGTATTTATATTATATTTTATCAAATTAGTGTGTCTATTTATGTTCCAATCCCATTACCGACTACTTGCTCTAGATGTGTGACCCTATTATAAACGAAAAAAATGCATCCTTTGCATAATTTTACTTGTCCATATCTAAATTTTATAAAAAAACAAAATCTATTTCATAAATTACAAAAATCAGGGTCGATTGTCTCCATGAAACAAATAGACAGTTTAAGTGAAATATGAACATGTGAGTGTGACATGATACTTTATTTTTACATATATACAGGGGAAGCATCACAACCAATAAAGTAACTAAAGCCCATCGAAGGGTGATGGTTGCAAATCATCCAGACATTGGTGGTAGTCACTATCTTGCTTCCAAAATCAACGAAGCGAAATACAAGCTCATCAGGAAGCCCAACAACACTGATTCTGTTTTCTCATACGATTTAACTGTAGATTCAGATTCTGACTAACATTGTTTATACCTTAAGGCTTAAACTGTCATGGATCTTTTTGGAATATGTGTTTTTGTATAATTCATAGAGTGGGATTTGGAGTTTATAAGGATTTGTTGTATTGACTATCTTTATTGTCATGGGATTGTCTAATTACATTCCTGTTGTTTCATAACACCAAATATCATTTTTTAGACAAAACTGCAAATTTGGTCATTGTGTGGATGAGATCCAAAATCTTTTCCATTTGTATGGATGATCCAAAATCAGAAAATTTGGATTTAGTCCTCTCAAACTTTATTATATATGAATTTGGTCCATATCCAACCTTAAATAACTGATATGTCCTTTAAATGATTTTTTTTAATTTCTTTAATTTGTTGTCTTTTTCTATATATATATATATATATATATATATATATATATATATATATATATATATATATATATATATATATATATATTAAATTGCAACTACACTATCACTCACGTATTTACTATTCATTTGGTTTTGCTATTGTAAGTACAAAACAGGTTAAGTCAAGATTAAGGTATAATTTTTATAGAATCTAATATAAATTGTGAAATAAGCATTTATTTGAAAATAGCAAATTTGTTTGTGGATATAAAAAAATCTCATATTTACAATTTCTACCCTATAAAAATTTTAATTAAACAGTTTTTATCTTTTATAATTTTAAAGTTAAATTATTGTATTTTTAAGTTATAATTTTGATCCCTTACTATGTTTTAAAGCTACATTTTTTATCTCATGATTGTTTTTATAGTTATAATTTTTATAAACATTACTTTTTTATTTAAACATTATAAACTTTTTACAGTATTTATTATGATATTAACTCATAAAATTAACTTGTTCAAGATAAGTCTTCAAACTTTATTTTTCGTATGTTTTCTCCATACATAATTGTTTGGTTTGAAATCTTATTTTATACTTTTACGTTCCATTTTACGGAAAACTCTTTTGCCGTGTGCACCACAAAAAGTATACAAATAAAGTTACGATCTAAACACACTTGAAGGTTTAAACTATGTTGAAAGTAGTCTCAAAATTTCTCCCACAAAACCTAATCCATGTCGCATTGTGTTTTTTCAACATATTAGGTTTCTGCAACATCGCGCGGATGGTCTAAACCCTAGTTTATATTAATACCAATTTAGAAATAAAAAACAAATAAATATGGCCCACCTCTCTCTCTCTCATTTAGTTTATATTAATACCAATTTAGAAATAAAAAAACAAATAAATATGGCTCACCTCTCTCTCTCTCTCTCTCTCTCTCTCTCTCTCTCTCTCTCTCTCTCTCTCTCTCTCTCTCTCTCTCTCTCTCTCTCTCTCTCTCTCTCTCTCTCTCTCTCTCTCTCTCTGAATTAACTCTATCTAGAATCTACCTCACTATAAAACATTTTGAAGAACTTCACCAAAGGCAAATTCAGGTTTCTCATATTTCGTCTACCTCCATTAATTGTTTTGGTCACTGATTTCATCTTAATAAATGTTTCATTAATTGAGATTTGAATAAGAAAGGAAATTTCTATAGATTTTCATTTACCTTTCTATTTTAATCTACATTTTCTTTAATGTTTTTGGGAATCTTTTTCCAATGCATTGTGCTAGCTATTGAGTTTTCATGGAAAGACATTTCTAGTTCTGATCGAGTTAACTCAATGAGTAAAACGATGAATCTAGTTGACAATGATTCATAGGCCAAAGTCGTGATTTGAAGAGCGAACTCTAAAGATATGGAGAGGAAGGGAGGAAATACGGCTCACCAGGGGCGGTTCTATATGGGTGCTAGTAGTGATACCGGCAACACCTTCTTTTTCTGTACGCAGTGCAAAAAAAAGTTTTGAAATTTTTTTCTACTATTTTGTCATTACTTAAAAAATATGCAACTACATAAAAAGAAAATATGTCACTACAAGCGAAATGTTTTTCCATGTCATACCTAGTAGGAGATCTTGCGTTCGCCCCTTACCATCGCACACCCTGAGGTCCACTGACAAGGAAGTAAGAGATTTCTAACATGTAGAAGGAAATAAGAGTGGTAAACATGATATGAAAAAGGTATGAATGTTCATGTAACGACCGAAAAATCCAACAAATTTAAATTTTTCAAAAACAACCCGATTTCATTAAATTATTACAAAAAGGTTTTCAATACAAATCATTTAGAGTATTCCCAGAATCACATTACTACAAAATCATGAGGAGCGGTACGATCACGCCTTTGCCTTGCCACGGTCTCCTGAAGAACCTGAAAAACATTAAACAACAACTGTAAGCCCGAAAACTTAGTGAGATACCCCCAAAATACCCACCACATATACCATACACATATCATGCTATCTCATAATGAATCACAGAACAGCCATGCATATCGGGTCTACCGTGGGACTGGTCCACCTTGTCGGGCCTTCAGTCCACCGGGTCCACCCTCCGAGTCCAATCATGTCCCTCGAGTCTACAGTGTGGTTGGTACGCCCCCACTGGGCCTTCAACTCACCTAGTCCAATAATGTCCTTCGAGTCTGCACTGCAGTTGGTCCGCCCGCACCGGGACTTCAACCCACCTGGTCCACTCTCTGAGTCTACAGTATGACTGGTCCGCCCGCGCCCGGGCCTTCAGTTGGCCTAGTCCACTCTCCGAGCCTCGGTACGTTTGGTCCGCCTTCGTGGGGCCTACAGCCTATCCGGACCGCTCGCTGGGCCTTCGGAATAACCGGTCCGCCCTGGGTATCTTGGCCTACAGCACGAAGCAGGACCGCCTCAACCCAACTCCAGTCCAAACAATCATGTGCACATAAACATACAATCACATAACAATTCATATTCAAGCAAACCGATCTAGCAGATCACATAACCCAACATACTCTAACAGGATACCGACCTAACCGGTCACTAGCATAGCCTCACCCTACATACCGGGATACCGACCTTAACCAGGTCTCTAACGAATACCATCCTAACTACCCGAATGCAAACATATCAAGCAATAATATAACAACAGATACCCGGATCTCAATCCGATAAAGGGCCGACCTTGGTGCCTTAGACCCTGTTGATATAGTGAGGATAACTCACCTCGAAACCGCCGGCTGAAAGGATAAGATCCCACTGCTCCAAAATCCGACACGAACTCCTCCACTAAACACCAAAACACTCAACTCAATAAATACCCTAAATTACCAAAATACCCCTAGAAGACAACTGGTCAACCTTTGGACAAAGTCAACCCCTGACTGACTCTACTCGCCGAGTCAATCCGATGACTCGCCGAGTGCCCAAGCTCAGAACATCCCTCAATCTGCGACCTAACTCGCCGAGTCACCCCGAGACACGCCGAGTCCAACAACTCTGAGTCCACTCGCACCCAACTCACCGAGTCATCCCTTGACTCACCGATTCTCGACTCAACCATAAAATATTGGGACTCTTCGACAGGACTCGCCGAGTCTAAGAACAGACTCGCCGAGTCTAAGGCTATCTTCAACCTACTCGCCGAGTTGTTCATCCAACTCGTCAAGTTCCAGCTCATATTCAAGCAACTCGTCGAGTCTACCCATGTAACTCGCCGAGTACCACCGGTCTGAATCCATACAGAAGCATTCCAGGCCATGCAATTGATCCAAAACATAGATCTAGCCTCCTACAACCCATCCATCACGTAAAGTGGCAAACTTTACGTGAATCCAAAGAGATCCAGGCCTTTTTACTCTAGGGTTTGGGGTTTGGGACAAGATAGCTCCATTAACAACACAAGAACAGGGACTTTAATGCTCTTAAGACCTTCTCCACTCTAGATCTGAGGTAGCAACCTCAGATCTATCCTTCAAACTCAAGATGCCACAAATCTAAGCTACCCACACAACCCCAAAATGAAGAATATAGAAGAACACAGCCCAAGAACGAGATATTACCTCAAAATGAAGCCTCCAACAGCAAGAGATCCGAATCTAAACAAAGCCCTTTGATCCAAGCCTCTTCTCCTTCAAGATTTCTTCAACAAACACCTCCCCAAGCTCCAAATGCACTCCAATCTTCCATAATCACGCTTTCTAGGGTTTCTGGACTTCAAGGGGGATCAAAGAGGATGGGGAGAGGGTATAATGTTCTTTAAATAGGGCTCATTCCCCGGATTTAGGGTTTTCTCCACTCAGCACCTACTCGCCGAGTCCATCTTTGGACTCACCGAGTAGGCCACTTGACACGTGACCAAAGTCGTGACCCTACTTGCCGAGTCCATCCATGGACTCGCCGAGTCGCCCTTTAAGATTTACACTTTTAGCCCTTCAACTCTACTCTTGCTATTCTGGGATGTTACAATTCTCCCCCACTTAATTTAGGCTTCGTCCTCTAAGCCTATGGCAACTCATCTCCAAAAATACTCCCACAACACGCCACCTGGCCTTAACCGGACCAGGTCCCTCAAGGCATACCCATCGAAACTCGAACTCACCTTCTCCTTCCTTGCGGTGTCCTGACCACCGTCTCAAATCGGGCACCGACTTTACCCTCTGATAACCACACACAACAACTGAGTACCACTCATGATACAACACTGCTTCAAATCACAACCATTACTCGACCCATATGAGCTATAAATAACTATGCACCACCCGATTCCCGATCCGAGTCCAACTCTATCCATTCCATGCTGACAGAAAGACACACTCTTCAGAGCAACTCCCATGAGTTCTCTTCTTGCAATCGCATGCACATGCTGAACTAGCTCTAGCACCCTCGGGTTAGGAAAACCCATCACACTGACGACCCTCAAAACATCCCTCAGAAGGAACCACTGCTACATAATTCCTTCACTGAAAACATGTTGGGAATCCAAAACTCCATACCTGCATCCCTCTTGAGACTCTTGGCTCTACACCTGCGGAATCCCTTCCGCGTCCTTAGCAGACACCCCATCATGATGTCATTCCATACCACCACCTCAATCATGCTGCTCAATGACCACCGTCGGACCACTCCGATCATAACTCTACACTGCCGCTTTCACTTCCATGAATTTACTCTTTCTCTCGGAGCTACACTCCTCTCTTCCTCTTTCCTTACC